TGTTCTCGTCCTACTTTTATCTGAGCCACATTTGAAGTGTCAAAATGTTTATATATACAGGAGAAAGCATTAATAGCAGTGGCCTACACTCACTTTCCTCAACTGTTATTCCCATGCTTTGTACACAATTTTTAGAAAAGATTTATTTATTTATTTTACAGAGAGAGAGAGAGAGAGAGAGAATGTACACACAGGGTGGGGAGGGGCAGAGGGAGAGGGAGAATCCCAAGCAGACTCTTGCTGAGCTCAGAGCCCAATGTGGGGCTGGATCCCATGACCCTGAGATCATGACCTGAGCCAAAACCAAGAGTCAGATGCTCAACTGACTGAGACACCCGGGAGCACCTGTACACAATTCTTTGATATGAAAAGCTCTGGAGGACAATGACAACATAGACAAGACCCATGTGATTGGTTAAGCTGGGGTATACTAGGGTGCATTAGTGTCTCAGGATTGCATCTCTGGAAACATGGGGCTAGGTCTCTGCCAGGCCTTGCCTTGCCCACCAGAATGTGGCTGATTGACTGTTGTGAGCTGGACACCTGGCCAACATTGAGGAAATACGAGTCTTTCTTTTATAAACTAAAGCTCATAAGCTAAGAGAGGATTATTGGGTAACAAATGAGTAATCTTTACAGCTTCTGGGAGAGTTCTGGAACTTGTGCTACCGAGGTCCTCAAGGGGAAAGCTGAGTGAGGAAATGTCTGGTGGGAAAAGGAGAAAAGGAAGAGGGGCAATAGAAAAGAAAAAGGAAAAGGAAAAGGAGACCTGAGTTTCTGTTCTGTTTTCTTTCTTTTCTTCCTCTTTCCCCCTAGGCCTGTGCCCCCTCTTTTATGTCTCCTTTCCCCTCCCACCTCTTTCTTTCTAGATAACTTCCTCATCTTTCATCTTGTGCATAAATCTGGCCTCTCTTGCCTTTTCCAGTTTGTCACTTCTGCCCATTATCACCGTTATCACCAGCTAGCCCCACTGAATCAGACTGTTCACTCAGAATGGTTTCCTGCTCTTCTGTGTCTGTTCTTTTGGTGGAGGGGCATCTTCTACACTCTGTAGTGTTAGGGAGACTGTCGGTCATTGGAACCCACCTTTTGCAAGATGGTCGATGAGAGTAACCCATCGCTCTGGCCAAAGAGTTTGGTTCAGGGATGGATGTGTGACTATTTGACCCAAACAGAGTGATCAAAGTCTTCCTTGGGAGTGGTTGTAGAGAAAGAAGTTCTTTTTCCATTGAAGTTGCTAAACTGGGGCAGGGAAAAGCCTGTCATGGCCATTTTGCCTGCCACATAGGGGGCTGCTCTGGAATGTAAAGTCAAGAGTTAAAAACAGAGCTATGAGATGGAAAAAGAGAAATAGCTTAGACACGCCCTCCTGAATTCTTGGATCTCTGGTCATGACTAAAGTCTGTTCAACACCAGAATTTCTTAGATATAGGATCAAAGAAATATCCTTTATGTTTAAGCTAGCCTCTGTTGGGTTTCTATTATGAACTGTTTAGCACCACAAAGATCAAATGACCAACCAAGTAGTAGAACTTTTTGGAAGTTTCCTCAAGTTAACTAGAATTGGTTCTCATTAGTTGTTGCCAATAGAATCTCAACCGATACTTTGGGAACGTGATGTATTTGGAGACAACCGCCTAAACTACCACAGCCAGTGCTCTACGTTGGTATTGTCCAAGTCTCAAATATAATCCCATGGGTTGTTTGTAAAGATTGTTTAACTGGCCTCTTGGCCGCTCTCATCTTCTTCATTTACATACCTCATTATTTATGTTAGGTATTGCCTGTTAATAGCACTATCCCTGCTCTTCTTCTTTTCCTTTTCTTTGCATTCTGGGGTTAAAAGCCTGGAAATTAAATTTCTCAAACTCCTTATCAGCAGGGTTCCAGTTAGATTTGGCAAATGGACCTCACTTTGGTGAGGTCCAGACGGCATCTGGAGGGTTCAAGTCATTCCTCTGTAACATCAGCTATGGAAAGGTGTGTGGGTGTCAGCAGGTGGCAGCTGTGAGTTTTAGTGAGTGGTTTTTGGGGCCCTCCTGAAAGTCCCTTCAGTAAGGCAAGCAACTGACATCATCGGTGTCAGCTTCCGGCTGTTTCTAGGCATCTGCCCAAAGACTGACTACTGGAGTATAGGTAGCTGAAATAATGGGCTAACCCTCTGATTCCTGACTTTTCTGATTTCCTGAAAGCTAGCAGCCCTCCCAACCATTGTCCTTGCAGGCCTCCCAATGTTTTGGAAGCCTCCAATTTCCTGTGTTTAATCTTTTCTTAATTGAGATACCTAGAACAGCTTCTGTATTTCTGACCAAACCTTGACTGCATCATTTTATTATCTTGTATTATGATATGAAGACTCGATTACTTGTAGAAAGACCAAGAAAGAGCATGTGGTGATGGTCAAAATGATCATCCTTCAACTCTGACAATTGTGAAACCACTACTGTCTCTTTTACTGCTGGAGTGGAAGTATTTATCAAATCTAATCCACTCTGAAAGGCCTTGAGAGGAAATAATCTGCTCCGTTGTACACTCAGAAGGCTAAGTCTCTTTAGGAGGTAGTATTCTAAGTGTTACTAGTCTGGATGGGAAGAACTCATTGTTGTGTCTTCTGAATTCTAGTTTGTAAATGAAGGGAAAGAGGGCCACTGGCCAAAAGTGCAAATTAAAAAGGCAGTGATCTGGCTTTGGGAATTTGATTGGTCCAGCTGCCTAGAAAAGTAGAATCTTCTGGATTCTTTTTGGCTTTGCTGAATCTTGCCTCTGAATGTCATGAACATGCCATTGCCATTTTTTGGTTATTTCTAGAATTTTTTAATCAGAGTAAGTTAGGCTATGTTGTGGTTATAAATAACCCCCAGATTTCAGGAGTTTAACTCAATACAGGTTTTTTTTTTTCACTCCTGCTACTGCTGGTTTATAGTTGCCGAGGTAGCTCTCCTGGGCAACATTTCTTCAAGCAGTGATGTGGGAATCTAGGCTCTTTCAGTGGTGTGATAATGCCACACTCTCAAACCTTCGCTGTCCCCACAGAAGGGGCAAGAGAAGGCCAGGATAACACAGAGGGTTCATTTCCAGGCCTAGATGTGGCAAATAACACTGCAACTTATATTATGTTGGCTAGATCCCAGTTATAAGGTCCCAGTCCAACCACAGGGAGGCCTGGCAGTGTGGTCTTCCTGTGTTATTAATAAGCATCTAGCTAGCTGCGGCCGGATTCTGCCGGAGAGTCATCCCTTCCATGTTCCATTTGCTCTAACCTCACAAACCTGAGCATACTTCAACATTATTTTTGCTCCTCAAAGGGCTCTTTTACTCATATTGTTTTCTTTATCTAGATCAACTGCATGCACCCTAATTTTTATTTGAATGATGTCAGAATAAACACAGACCTTGTGTTTGTATGTTGAATCCTATTGATGATAACAGTCAGTGATTGAGGTTCTCTGGTTATCTTAACTGTATTGCGAGAACAGGAGGTCTCACTCTGCTGCCTCCTGATGAAGTATTCCTGGTCTCTCTATATTCAGTATTCCTTTTGACTCTCCAGAACAAGCAGCAGCTGTAAGTCCACACTGGGGGTTCCCCAACTTTATGTGCATCGGTATCAGCTAAAAACCTTACTAAAACAGAAATTGCTGGGCGCTACCCTAGAGTTTCAGATTTGGTTTGCCATGAGGTGGGGTCTGAGAATTTGCGTTTCTAATAAATTCCCAAGTGATGCTGCTGTTTTGAGAACCGCTGGTGTATACCAAATATTGTAGCATGAAATTTTGTGCCATCTCGAATTATTTGCTGTTTTTCTCACATTCAGAGCAATACATTTGAGTACGTACTGTGTGCAAGACCTTATGCCACCTGGTGTTAGAGGTCATCAGTTATATTTCAAGGACAGTGTTTTTATCTTTTGTATCCTGTATCATGTTAGTAGGTATTCAGTTCCTACTTATTAATTGATCGGTGTGAACCAATACAGTAGACTTCTACTGTCTCATCTTCACTTAAAATGATGAATGATGATTATCAGAATGAACACAGACTGTGTGTAGATATGGCATTTGGGACTGCTTATGAAAACTTGTGATGGAGTCTTTGACCTCTGGGATTGTCTTCTGGGAATAAGGCAGCCTTACTATTATTTTAATATTCTAAGGCAATACAATAAACATGGCGTGTGACTTGTTCAATTTCATGTCCTTGGACATCCTCAGTCAAAGGTATTGCAGAAACCTTATAGATAATTAGACCTGGCTCTTAATTAAAAGACATTTGACTTTACACAGCTATTAATGGAAGTAAGTTGCAAATCCTCCAGAATATGTTTAAATAACTAGGTAAAGAGGCTCCGATATTTTAATTTTGCCCTAATACTTATTGCCCAAAGGTGAATTTTACTCAAGAGTATTGATCCTGTTTTATTTTCATGTTCAGTATGTTTGCCATGGGGTATTTGAGCTCCACAAAGGACCCATGGGTTGAAAGTCATGTAATGTTCCATAACAATATGGGCTACCTAGAAATGACGATTGTTCTGGTAATATTTAAGGTTGGATTCAGTTTGCGGAAGTATTTTACAACTAATTTTCTCATATAATATAAAATTTGGGGCTAATTTCACTTCAATAGTAAAAAATCAAATCTTATTTGCACTATGGATGGAAGTTGTAAATAATATGAATTTCATGGTCTACACATTGTTTCAAGTTTCTTTGAAACATTTTTGAAGATGAGGCAGAAAACTTTTCATATTTACACAATAAAATCATTCTACTCTTGTGCCAGAGTAAGTGCCACTGTCCTTTTACTCTCTTTTTTTTTCCTCCCACCAATTTTTTTTTCATGTTTAACACATTCAAACCCGTGTCCAAGTTGCAAAAGAATGCCCAAAGTTGTCAGAAACATGCCATGGGAAGAAATTTTCTATTTAGTTTTATTACTTTTATTTCCAGCTCTGTGGAAGAACAGCCTCTGGCTTTTTCTTTAGCCCTGCAATTTTTTTCCTTCTCAAATTGGTACTGCTTTTGATCTTCTAGAGTTCTGCAAGGGAATAAATATGCATGTAGATAAAAAGGAACATACGAATAAAATATATTTAGACTTTCTGAGACCTTGGCAATATTTGCATAAAGAACTTATTAAAAGTTGAATCACTTGCATTGCCTATATTATTTCATCAATGGTGGCAGCCAGCTTAAAGTATAGAAAGTATAACAATAAAGGAAAATAATAATTTTTCCTCTCGGAGAGGAAAAGATGAATTCATAGGCATCAATTCTATAATAAATTAGGGGTAATGATCTCTGAACTAAGTGAGTAAGCTTTGAAGATAATACCTTGCTCTTCCAGATTCCAGGTTAGTTTGGGTATTTTGAGGCTACATGAATGCTAAGAAAATTGGCAGAAGAGTATGTGTGGATACTTATAAGGGAATATGTTTTAGGATAAATTCTCACTTCTCATTCTGAGGAAATTCTTGGTTAAATAAAATTAAACTGAAATTTATATTGTGGAGCCTTGTCAATATCTGAGTACAGATGGAGTATCTAGAGTTTCTCAAATTTACTTGATCATGGAACTCTTTTACCCGAGCACTCTTAAGAATTCACGAGATGCTGACGTCTATAGGTCACAATTCCGGAAATGCTCATCTAAGTTACTGTTATTAGGTGAACATGATTCTTAGGAGCCATTATGGTACATTAATGAAACAATCATCCTGAGCCATTAAATGGTCAGCTAGTATTAAGAAAGGATATTAAGGATATTTAAAACAATATTAATTTAAAACAATAATAAATATTAAGGATATTTAAAACAAAGTAGAAATTGATGTACATTATTTATAACTAAAAATCATGGTTCTTTGGCACCTACTATATCAGGCAAAAGAGTTCTAGGTAATGGCAATTGCTTGTCTAGATTTAATCCCCCCTTCCCCCAAGAACTTTGGATTTTTAGTTTTCTCCTTTCTTTCATTCGTCATCAATCTTGTGCTCACTAGAGGATTACTCCCATCATCGTATACCTAAAACATACTGAAAAAAGCCCTTTCTGGTTACCAGAGCATCCTCCAGCTGCCTCACCTTTCTATTCCTTTCATAGTCAAACTTCTCAAAACACTTGTCTACACAAGCTGACTCCGTTTTCTCACCTCCTATTCATACTCCAGTCTGGTTTCCATCTCTCCCGCTCTATTGAAACAGCCCTTTTCAAAGTCACCAATGACCAAGGGGCCATGTATCGTATTGCCATTGAGCTGCTGAGAAGGAAGGGAGGCACTATTAATAATCCTGTGTGGGTAAGAGGCATTACCTGCACTACTGTCCTAATGCCCGGCAGTCACCGATGAGAGCTACTCCCAGGAATCTTACTCCTTGGAGCTTCTGGTCTGCCTTGCTCAATTCAAGGAAGACTTCAGTTGCTAGCATTTGTTCTTGGAAGCCTGCATTAGGTATGCAGTAGTCCCCCCATTGTCTGCCATTTCTTGATTTTCTGAGTCAGTGACCCATGGTCAACTGCGGACTGGAAGCAGATGATCCTCTTCTGACATATTGTCGGAAGGTCACTGGTAGCCTAACGCTACATCACAATGCCTATGTCATTCACCTCACTTCATCTCATCATGTAGGCTTTTTGTTATCATCATCATAAGAAGAGAGAGCAAGCACATTCACATAACTTTTATTATAGTACATTGTTATAATTGTCCTGTTTTTATTATCAGTTCTTATTTTTAATCTCTTGCTGTGCCTAGTTTATAAGTTAAACTTTATCAAAGCTCTGTATGTATAGGAAAAACATAGTATATATAGGGTTCAGTCTTATCTGGGGCTTCAGGCATCTACTGGGGGTCTTGGAATGTATCCCTTCCCAGATGAGGTGGGGAACAACTATATACAGCATGGTGAGTACAGAAGGCATGTGGGTGGGTATCAACAATATCTGTGACAGCCAAGCATCAGGATGAGGCTGCATAAGCTTCTGGTATGAATGACTTTACACTTCTTGCTTTCAATAAACTCTCATCTGCTCAGAAATCAAGCCACACTGATGTCTAAATATAATCTGGCCATGGAGGCTCAGTGAATGAATCTGAAGGATTCGGAAATCCTAAAATTCTTAAACTTTCTTCGGTGGCCTTGAATCAGGCACGTGACGATAGCATGGTAAACCCTGACGGGGAGATAAGTTTATTGTGAGGTTTGAGATAGAATCATCACAGCAGTGCTAGCGTTTGAATGGCCGATGATAATGGAGAATTTAATGCACAAGCTGGCAGCAGTGCCAAGGAACCGGAACACTCTACAGCTGTGGTCTGTTCCTCAGCCAGCTCCTTAAGCTTCAGCTCAGGATCACCAACACTCTCCTTTGTTACAAGTTATTTTGCAAAATGACTGCTCAAAGGGGCCCCCAACTTGGGAGATCACAGTCATCCTGCAGTGACTTCCTAGCTCAGTGTGTCCCGCCTTACTGGTTCTTCTAGCATTCCAGTCTGATCCAGTCTTGTGTTCAAACTGGTAACATTGCCTTTCTGTGACAAGAAATACTTCAGATGTTTAGGCTTGCTCCTCTTTCCTGGAAGAGAGTGAGGGAGCAAGAAAGAGAGGGTGAGAGGCATCCTGCGTATACCAAATTCCACCTGGAGTTATTTTGTTGACATGTCACTTTCAGAGGCTGACTGTCTAATACACTGTAGTCAGGAGCGAGCAGGTAGACAAGCACAGTGGAAAGAGCCTAGACTTTGTGGTTAGAGAAGAGTAGGTTTCAATTCTTACTCTCCACCTTATCCACTCTCCAGTCCTGGACAAGTTAGCTCTCTGTACCTCAGATTCTTTTTTTTTTTTTTTTTTAATTTTTATTTTATTATGTTATGTTAATCACCATACATTACATCATTAGTTTTTGATGTTGTTCCATGATTCATTGTTTGTGCATAACATCCAGTGCTCCACGCAGAACGTGCCCTCTTTAATACCCATCACCAGGCTAACCCATCCCCCACCCCCCTCCCCTCTAGAACCCTCAGTTTGTTTCTCAGAGTCCATAGTCTCTCATGGTTCGTCTCCCCCTCCGACTTACTCCCCTTCATTTTTCCTTTCCTGTTATCTTCTTCTTCTTCTTCTTCTTTTTTTTTTTAACATATAATGTATTATTTGTTTCAGAGGTACAGGTCTGTGATTCAACGGTCTTAAACAATTCACAGCACTCACCATAGGGCATACCCTCCCCAATGTCCATCACCCAGCCACCCCATCCCTCCCACCCCCCACCACTCCAGCAACCCTCAGTTTGTTTCCTAAGATTAAGAATTCCTCCTATCAGTGAGATCATGTGATACATGTCTTTCTTTGATTGGCTGTACCTCAGATTCTTATCTCTACTGTGGACATGCTAAGACTTACCTAATATGTGTGCTAATAATAACAATAATAAAAGTGATAAGAGTGACACCTTTCGTCAAAATAAGTGCTCTGTATCTTGAGAGATAATCAAACCAGAAATAGAAGAAAGGCTCCTATTGTTAGAAATACAAACTCAAGAACAGTTTTTCTGAGCCAGGAGAGATAAGAGTGACCAATCCAGAACTATCTCCACCACATTTTTCCTGAAAGAGTTGCATTCATCTGTCTAGTTACAGCCTAATATAGTTGCAAGGCAGGATTATACTAGGCTATATTTTTTTCCCTGTTTAACTGTAATTCCCTTCTAAAGGTTGCTATCAATAAAAAACCCCCAAATAAGTGGAGTTTCCTTCTCAGTGGTGGATTTCTTACATTAGAAAATATGCAATCCTACAGTTATTCAATGTATCTATTACCGGATAGATAGGGCTTGTTTGCCAGGGAGCCCAATATGGGGGCTGGTGATTGAATTTCATGCATAGGATATCAAACAAACAAACAAAAATTTAATTAAGAAATTAAATAGCCCATCGAAAGAATTGAGGACTAAATTAAGTCAAGGTTGCTTCTGCCCTGGGAGCATCTCATAGGTGGTGCTTATTGTGCTGTGTGGGCTTAACTTTTAACTTGCCTCAGTAGGCCTGTGTTTCCCAGGTGTAAAATACAAAAATTAGATAACCTTTAATTAGATAATCTTTAATGTCTTTTCCTGACATTTTAAGTGTATGGAACTTGAAATAAGGTGAAGCAGAGCTAACAATTATTTAGGTACTAGGTGGGACTGTGACCAGGCCAATTTCCTCAGAGACATTAATACATTTTTGGGTGCACAAAGCACCGATCTCCCAAAAACATTTTTTTTGGGGGGGGTTCTGGTCACAAGTGATAAAGATTTAAGCAGTAGCAAAGAAATTGTTAAAAGAAGTTTAGAAAGCTGGTAAAATTGCTGGGATAGTTAAAGAACAAGACTCGGGGCTACATAGTTGAGACAATACTTCAAATTACTGCTGTAGTAACATTCTAATGTTATGCTGAGCACTGGTTCCCACAGCTTACCCTGCAGATGGCATGCTCTTGGACACTGGATGTGGCCACTGCAGGCTTTGGGACCTGGGTGTGGTTGCCAACATTGCCTCTACCTATTGTCAAAAAGGATACTGCATGGTCAATGATTTCTAATTAATGGTCAGAAGCAAGTGCTCTGATTGGTGGAGCTTAGGTTATAAGGTCATGCCCTAGCTGCAAAGGAGTCTGGGAAAGCGATATCTTGCTGCTTCAGCTTCTGAAGGGGAAAGAAGGCTGTGCCTTCCACCAAGACTCAATAGATGGAAAATTTTCCAAACACAAGAAGTGGTTCAGATGCTGGAAGAATGACAGAATCTTTAAGAAAATGTTCAGAAAAAATGACAAGTATCCACTTCAATCCATTTGGAGAGTGCCTCCCATTTCATGTCACAACAGGAGACTTTTACAATGAAGCAACAGATTTTTCTTCTGCCACCAAATTTTATTCTCTTTGCTTGCAACCATCACAACGTCATAAACCTTAGTTTTGAGAAGGGAAAAAACTCCATTTTTGTCTATTTCATTATGTCTATTTTTTAGTTGTTTTAAAACCATTAGGTCCATCAAAATAAGCACCAACCTTTTCTTGTAAAACTGGAATCCAGTGTGAAACAAGACACACTCTCTGCACTTATGACCTCAAAGATTATATTCCTTAAGGGGACTGTATTCATTGTGAATGATTATGCAGTGAAATAACTTAAAGCCTGACAAGGCATATCATTTTTGTGCTTCTGGGACCTGGGCCCCCTGAAAAAATATTATCACCAAGACCATCCTTTGGCAATTGTGGAGGAGGGAAGGTTTTAGGGCCTTCATTTTCCATTTCCTTCACCTCTATGATAATTATTCTCAGGAAATGATTTCATAAAACTTAATTTATACCAAGCAGTCATTTATGTAAATGACTGTTGAAGTCTAATGGGTACTTCTTGGTCTTTTAGCTCTGATTCTGCCCTTAAAAGAGCATGCATCTTATGAGGACCCACCATCAGGTCTTGCCAGCATGGCTTTGGGAAATATATTATGTAATTGAGGAGGAGAGGTGATATGATCTGTAGGTGCTGAAGGAAGTGGGCTCACTGTGTCAGACAAATAATTAAATATCTATGATTTTTAAAAATGCTTATGTCTACTATCTTTCTTAGTAATGTATTATAATCCTCATTTCATAGATGAAGAAACCAAGTCTCAGTGAGATTAGAAAACTTGTTCTAGGCAACAGAATAATGGTCTCTCCTAGACGTCTCTGTGCTAATCCCTACCATCTATGAATATGTTATATCATGTGGCAAAGGAGAATTAAGGTTGCAGGTAGAATTAAGTTGCTAATCAACTGAGCTTAAGGTTAGGAGATTATCCTGGGTGGGCACAATTTAGTTGCAAGTGTCCCTTAAGGTGGAAAAGGGAGGATCGGAGCAACAGAGAGATTTGAAGATGTTATGCTGCTGGTGTTGAAGAGGAGGAGGCACCTCAGACCAAAGAATGCAGGTGGCCTCCAGAAGCTGGAAAAGGCAAAGAAATGGATCCTCTCCTAGAGTATCCAGAAGGAATTGGCCCTACTGACACCTTGATTTTATTTTTTTTACTTTTTATTTTTTTTTTGACACATTGATTTTAGCCCAGTGAGACCCATGTTGGACTTCTGACCTCCAGACCTGAAAGTTAGTGAATTTTTGTTGTTTGAAGACACTAAATGTGTTATAGCAGCAAAAAATTATTTGTATTATTTGTAATAGCAGAAATGAATTAGTACAGCCACACAACAATTAAATATTAAAGGCAGGATTCAAAGTCCAAATCCTGAATTCTTTCAGTGCAGTTCAAAGGCAAAAATCAAAAGACATGGTTAAAAAAGGGCTCATATAAGAGGCCAAAAACAAGGTGGAAGGGGTCTCAAGAGGTGGAGGTTAAAAATCATGGTATTTTGGGGGTGTTATTAGAAGATAGTGTTAAAGATATCATTTGGCCCAGAAGCACTGGGCTAACCGAATCCTGCTTTTGGCCTCTCTTCCGTGGAGTGAACCAAGGCAAAGCAAGCAGA